AAACGGCTGACCTCCCTCCACTGCAAAGCTGGGCTTAGATTATTGATCGAATCAGTTCACATTAAAATGCACCCACGCCTTTCTCACACCAACCAAAAGGAAAAACTACAGCCAGCTCTAAATTCGTGGCCTGCCGCAATCTCACGTCTAAATAGCTCCAAGCTGCGACGGCTGCGGCTCCGGTCTCTCCTCCTGCTTCGGGGGCGGCTGCGGTCCGCGTCCTGCGCAAGCCGACACCCCGCCCCGCTGTTCTGTTTTGTATGTGTGTGGGACGGCTTGGCGGCTTGGGTGCGCTCAGCCAATTCCAACCAGCATCCCCCACAGGACAAACCTGGGGTTCAAAGCTGGGACCCTGCTCAGCGCAAGCACGCGTGCGCATCATGGCAAGGCCGGCCCCGCAATCAACACAAGCACGCGCAATCAAACTTGGAGCCCGCCACCCGTGCAGACGAGCCTACCCGAGGGCAAGATGGCGTGACATCCTAGCCAGCGAGGCAACCCCAAAAGGGTCTTCCCGCACCAATTCCTCGCTGCAGCGCTGGGCCCGGAAACGTACAGCTTGCAGAGGGGGCAACCTTGAGCGTCTCAAGGATATGTCCCGCACGCACACGCGCCGGCAGCAAATGAGGGAGGCCGCACCGCCCCGGACCAAAGGGGGGCGTTCTGCTTTGTAAGCCCTGGAACTTCTGGGCTCAAGGCGCTTCTTGTAGTTTGCAGCACACGGGTGCGCTATTATAAGTAAAGCAGCCTTGCTGCATATTGCTTCCCGTGTGCGCTCGTGCAGTCACACCAGGGCTCCAGAGTGAACCTAGCATCGGACTCATCAAACGTCAGGTTGTTTTGTAAAACAGATCCAGGGATGGAATCTTTGCCCTCGAGATCAATTGCCCCCGTCCGTTGTGGAGGAGGAGCAAGCCAAAACCAGAGAAGACTGGCCGTCCTGTTGGCAGCGCCGAGAAAATACTGAAATTGTCGATGACTGCCAAGATTCCGCCATAGTACGACTGAAGAGTCAGCTGGTCTAGATACAAGGAAAGCAAAGACATTGCAGAACTTCACTCTTGGATATGGGAAACTCAGTGTTGTGTCTCCTGGCGAGTCGGTAAAGATACACGTTCGTGGCTCCCTTTAGAAAATACTTCTTCAGCGTGTTCTCGAAGAAATCGACTCCTTCATTTGGATCTCCGAGCTTTTCGTTGCCGAGCAGTTCGCCATACATGAGTGCCTCGCCTGTGAGCCGCTCTTGATGAGAGGTCCCGAAAGCTCTGGCTCCACAATTGTTGTGAATGAGGACATTCAACTTCAGAATTCCACATATGCGACACTGAAGACACAGCATCGAAGAAGGTTTTTGGGTTGAAGATGAAGAAGGAAGCGAAGGTTGCGTGGGAGCAGAAGATGAAAAGACATTTGGGGTCTTCAACGATCATGACGCGTTCGCAGCCAGCAAGGTGCCACGGCGAAATTTGAGATCAGGAAGAAGAGAAGGAAAGCCCAAGCCGCCGACAAACTTCAAAGGAGCAATGCAGACGGCAAGGCCCACCTCGCCAACGAAAGCACAAGATCCCTAGGACCAGGCAGAGAAGGCCAAGGAAAGAAGGGAAACAAAAGTATCAGAACCCCTTCGATGGAACCAAAGGTTATCCACCATATAAAGACGGCAAAGCAAAGGCGGAAAGCACAAAGGGTAAGGAAAGTCCAAGACACCCTAGCAGGGACAACAGGCGAGCAACCCGCCAATCAGCCGGCTGCTGCAAGGCCGCCTTCATACGCCAGTTGGAATGAAAAGGATTGGGACCAAGCATGAATTTGGAGTGAAAGTGGTTGGTACTCAAGTCATCAGATTTCCGGCCAATCAGACGGCGATGATGGCAAGCCAGGATGCTTGTCAACATTGGCACTGATGCCGTCGAGAAGAAATTGACCCACACCGACACAGCTTCTGCTCATGACCTCTCAGTAACAACCAGTTCTGCTACCAACAAAGCTCACGGCGCCGGTCACAAGCCCGCAACGCAACCCGACTTATGCAATCCTTGACAGTGAGTGCGCCAGGTCTACGGGAGGCTGGCATGCAATCCAGCGATTTACTCCAGCCATCATTCACTACTTGCATCTCCACACCTCCTGCACAAACACCGACACCCTCGAGCAGGGCACTCCTCATAACATTGGACAAATGAGGAACTTGAAAAGAAACATTGAAAATACCCCTCAGTGTGACAAGACCACGTGCGAAATCACACCATTGCTTTGGCCACTCTGGATGGAGCAACCAAGATCAAGTGGGCCACCGGCCCACCCTGAAGCAAGATACGGGTCATCTCAACGAGCGCATGTTAGAGCGAGATCTTCGCAGAGGGCCCTCAAATTCCCGTAGGCCCTTCGACCCGTAAAATCACGGCAACCACGATGTCAGCAACAGTTGCAAACTTCGTGGAACAATGAGATGCTATGGTTCATCCCTGTTTCTTCGCGGCCCCTGGCCAGACATCACAAGTGAAGTTGCAAACGCGTACATCACAACTGATGCAGATAATCTTATCACAACAGCTTCAACAACACATCAGCCTGAGCGGAAGGGGACCATGCACTTGACACAAAACTTGCGAAAGGCAAGTGACAGCGGTCAAATGCAGGACTCGGAGCGAAGATTGCCTCGCTGACTCCTTGACGAAGCTGCCTGCCAAGCCCGACAAGTTGATCAAAGCAGTTCTGGCAGGTATTCTTTTTAACCTCCTGAAGGTGCTCGTCCACCAGTTCACGCAATGTTGCAGAACAAGGCGTTTCTTGCTGACTGGCTCGCACGCAGCACAGCACACGGTCCAACACCCACTGCCTTTGCAGGAGTTGGGCTATCGCAACATGTCCACATGTTGGGGCACATGGGCCTGATTGGATCATGCCGCCTGAAGTCGTTGGATGTTACTCTCCACGAATGTATATCCGATCAGCGCTGATCATTGCGCTTGACCATGCGTGACGCTCAAGAAATTTGTGTCTGCGACCGCAGACAGTTTCCACTCAAACAATTTCAGCAGTCCCGGCCGTGTGTGCAATCTTGCCTTGACGCCGCGCCGCCATTTCTTACGCTGGCCAAGGCCCTTCTTAAGTTCGGGGGGCAATGAGCAAGAGACGTGCGTCGCCACTCAAGCCCTGACTGATCGTGATAAGAATGCCATGGGTGAATTGCTCGTGGAAACAAACGTTCTTCCATCATTGTGGCGACAAGGCCTGAGGCAGCATTTGCAGCGACGCGAGGCAAGATTTGCGGCGACGCCATCAGCAAGAAAGGCGCAAAACGCGCGCCATCCACAACAAATGGGACAACGGCGACGCCAGCAACAAACAAATAAACAACATTTGCACAGACACCACCAAGAAGAAATGAAGCAAAACTTGCAGCGACGTCATCAACAAGCGTTTTTCGCGGCACACCATCAACAAGAAAAGAGGCACAATGGGCGCGGATATAATTTAAGGTTTTTCGGTTGTTTGATCGTTCTCATCTTGGCCTGTAACATGTCGTAGTTTAGATCATTTTCGCACGAACTGTACGTATTTTACACTCGCCCGACAACATCCCCAGCATTGTTTTCAACATCCCTCGCCTGTCCCGCCAACATTTCCAGCATCACCAGCAGATGGTGGGTAGCGCTGGCCCTCTATTGCCTTGGCTTCCTACATCCTTAGGATAATTGCTTACTGTCCGGAGAGGGCATGCGCGCATGCATGTTGAAAAGGAGCGCGGGGGCTGGGGGAGCGCCAGCCCCCGCACCGCCCATGACGGTCGAAAACATGAAATTTCAAACGGGGGTGAATTCAATGTCTGTAACAAAGCTAGATGAAAAAGGGAATTAGATAAGAGATGCACCAGGTACACAAGCATTAGATTTGCTTCAAAAAGCAATGCGAATAATACAGAAGGAAGAATGTGATGGAAGGAGAAAATGCCCAGGGAAGAGATCCAGCATTTCCTCATCTTCCTTCCACCGCCTGCAAACGACGCCAAGAGATGGATCTGTCTTTTCTAGATTCTTCCTCTTGGGGGACGAAGGAATGGCATAGCATGAAGATAAAAAAAAAAGAAGACAGAAAAAAAGAAGAGAAGTGACATGAGGCTTGCGCGGCAGCCCCCCCCATGAAGCTCGAAAAAGTGATGATTCAATTAGGGGTGCGGTTTAATGTCTGTAGAAAATCTACAAAGTATCGCGGGGTTGGGGGTTGGAGATGGTCGAAAAGTGATGATTTAGAGGCGCAAATCGATCTGCGTCAGAAAATCTAAAAGGTAGCGTGGGGGTGCGATAATCTCTGCAAAGCAGGAAAAGCAGCAGCGGGGTTGGGGGAAGGGAGGGGGGGGGGGGAAAAATAGTAAAAGGAGAATTCAAAGAATTATTCTTTCTACTATTTTTTTTCCAACAGCAACACAACAAACAGAAAACAAAATCCAGAACAACAAGCAAACAAAATAAATAATCACAACCAGCAACAAAATATTTAATCACAGCATGCAACATTAAATAATTCAAACAAGCATACCAACAAAACAGCAACACTCTAAATCATCAAAGAACCCAAACTCAAAAACACACATCAACAAAAAACAAAGCAACATACCAACAACAAATATCATAAGAGTATCAAGCAAAACAAAAACAAACAGCCAAAGCACGAAAAAATCAAAAGAGCATACCAAGTCTAAACAACGCACTTTGAAAGAGATAAGCAAATTAGGAAAATATAATAATTCAATCTTTACAAACGATAAATATATTACAATTATAACATATAATATTTTACATGTGATAATTATATTTCAATTAAGAATTAAGGATTTAAGATAACAGTCAGGCAATATGTCTTCAAATATGTAATCTACATATTTATCAATATCATTAATGTCTATATATTTGATATTGTCTTTTCCTATTATCGAATAAATATATTCCCAAAAGAATAAATACAGCAATAGACATACTTTATATTTAGTGTTGTAGTAATACCATACATGATATTTAGTTATTCTAAATTCATTCAAGACCTTGTTTATTTTATCTTTGCTTAATAAATGCCAATCAATCTCTTCAAACAAATCACTAAATTCTTTAGCAAATGATTTATATGGTTTAATGCTTAGTTCTCCTCCAAACCTTTTAATCAAATCTTTATTATTAAAAAACTCATCAATTTCTTTTTCAAATGACTCTCTATCAATTTTATG